CTTGGTTATAAATGCAAGCTTCCTATGTCTATAGAAACACTGCATTAAAAAACAAGCAAACAAGTAAAGAAAAACATTTCAAAAAAGGATGTAAATGTAGGGATGGCTAATATCAATCTTTTAAAAACAATGCACACAAATAGTAGAGATGCATTTGCAAGCATTAACATATAGCAATATATATAACTGTTCAATCACAATTGAGTTTTAATTTATCCTGTTTTTGTCTCTTAACATTCTACTATAGCGTGTGCCTGGACTATTATGTAAGGATGATGCAAATACCATCCCTACTATCTTGCTTGCATTGTTTCTGAAGGATTGATATTAGCCATTCTTACATTTACTTCTTTTTTCTGAAAAGTTTTTCGTTACATGTTCCATTTGAACTACTCAAAAGCAACAAATTTAATGTAATGATTATACATGTAACTTGTTAATGTTTCCTCTCAGTCAATAAAATTGTTTTAAAGTAATTTTCAAGCATTTTATCAAACTATAACACATATAAAGGTTCATTCTGTTCTATATTACCAAGAGAAAACATTGTAAATTAAGTTTACCATTCACTATTCATTTTTTTCTTGCATGCTGAACATCACTGTAAGCAAATTATCCTTGGTTAAAAATTTTCAACAATATGTACAATAGTCTCACAAAGGGCTCTATCACTTGACCTCCGTGAAATCAATGGAATTAAAATTCAGATTCAACTATGATTGTGCTTAGTATACCTAGTCCAATTAACAATAATAATCCAAGTCTTAGCATTCAATTTCAATTTACTGAATACCGGTATATTCATTAATTGTTGAATATAATAATTTACAATGTTTCATTCCCACAGAACAGTTCTTAAAAAAATGTTAATAGTAACCTTAGATCCTTATCCCTCTTTAATAAAAAATATCAACCTAATACTTCAGTACTGTAATTTTTAGCCAAGAGTATACCATATATACTAAAATGTTCTATATAACTTTTAACCAATTAAGAGTCAAAGTTATGTTAAGATACACAAGTTATCTATACGATGAAAACAAGTTACCCTATAATTCAGGATCTGGATGCATATTTTTTTTAATCAATTATTATTTCCCTGATCCAAAATCTAAACCTATGATATCACATCTAGAAGTTTTTTTTTACTCAACCTTCTGAAAAAATTTGATACTACTCAGACAAAAAAAACATATACCATTATTTAACCAAATTTTCAAATTGTGAATCTATTAACAATTTATTTAGTGAAGCATTCCTAATACACATACATCTACATTCATTCATTAGTAACTACCATAATCTAGGGTAATGATGTACATAATACATTACCATTTTCTGTCTCAATTCATATCACTATACTATTTATACTGAACACTAATAGTAAACAAGAAAAAAATTGGTTCAAAACACCTCAGGTTCACCCAGTATATGTTTAACAGTTCTGACTCTGGATTAATTAAGTATGAAGAATTGACAGAAAAATTATCACCTAGGACCCATTTTTTGGGCTAATCTAATTTCTGTTAAGTTAAACTAATTAAATACATTTTATATATCATTACAAACATCCTAACATACTACTGTTCTATATAGTAGTATTACGAGCTTTATTATAGTCTAGCATTAGTTAGCAGTTCTAAGAACTTGAGAGTGAAAGTAAAATGACTGTGATGTCAATCACACCCTATCAAATGCCAACAAGGCCTTTTGCCTGCCCAATACTAGATAAAGCTCATCAAGTTGTATGGGATATGATATATAGAACAGTGGTTTATTAAATTAACTTTTATTAATTGAATATATTAAGCAAATGAAGTGTAATTACTATCAATTTAAGTCATTTACAAATCAGAATTATGGTAAGAATTAATAATGTTATTTATTTATTTTTTAACAACAATTACTCATTATTTTAATTCATATTATTACCATTCAGAAGAACTGGTGAACCAGCAAGCTATTCTTTTTGTTCCCAGAGCAATTGAAGCATTAACAAGAGAAAACTACATAAGTAATTTTAAGAAATTATGCATAAAGCAAAGTCAACAACACTATCAGCCATATTCAATGTTGATGAGGTCTTTCACCCAATTTTAGGGCTCATCAGACTACCTGGGACTATAATAAAATAGCAGTCTAGGCACTACTTGTATCATTAACTGTAGGTTAATATTACGAAATATATTACCATTAAGTAATTGAAATGTAATTACTATCAATTTTATTTAAACAATTTATAAACCAGAATTATGATAAGAATTAATAACAATATTAATTTTTAGATAATACTAATAGTATTACAACTGCAATTGTTAATACAAATTAAAACTACTATAGTACTACTAGTAGTTGTATTTGAGACTTGAGTACTAATAGTAGCACTACTGGTAGTGGTACTACTACTACTATTAGTTCTAGTAATGAAAATGACATCCAGTACATCCGCTACAATATTACTATTACGCTAGAGTAAAACACAGCTAACACTACTAGTTATTAGTATATAGTAGTAATACTAATAGTAATACAGCAATAGTAATATCTAAACATTTCAAGTACGTACAAACTTAAATCCTTAAGACTAAATCATGGACAGTCTTAAGCCTAACATACTTTCATTTTCGTCCTACATATAATGTTATTGACTGTTTTACCATATACATAGTTAGTAGTATAACATAAGATTTATTTCAAATCAATTTTCTTGCCTTTTAAAACCTTTTGAAAGATAATTCTTCAACTCTGATCAAACAACAAAAAAATAAACGTAGTCTTATGACTTTGACTCCCTCTACCATTTGCAATTATCATGATACAATATTTCTCTCTCCGTAAGAATGAATATATGTGCTACCTGTCGGAAAATATTAACATTCTGGAATTTTAATTGCGGCATTAATGTTGATTTTAATTTACCCATATGAATTATTCCTTATTTCCTATAAAAATAATAACATTATTTATTAGCATTATAAATATAATCCTTATACAAGGGATATTGAAAAAAGTTCTGTTTATTTAATTGTTTTGTAAATGCCTTACTCACTTTTATGCTTTGTGTAGCAGTTGTAAATTCTACAAATATAAGTTTCCACAGTGGCCCAACAGCAAGTATGTAGACTTACGACGCTAAATTCTGGTTTCGATACTCATTGTGTAGCTTTGTGCTTAACACCAACCAACCAAAGTCTGCCATACCTTTTTTTCTGTCAATATATTTAAATATTTTATAATCTAAATCCTTTGTTTTTTACCTTAAAATATTGATACACACATACAAAGCTTTTTGCACAATCTATTGTAACAATATAAGGATGAGTGCCTATGCTTTTCAGCTCCTTCTTCTATCACTACACAATGGGATTTTTATATTGTGTCCACCACATGAATCAAACCATAAATTTTAGTGTTTAAGCCCTCAAGATAAGTACTGATGTTTTATTTGATGGTTCTGGTTAAAGATTATTATTCTGCAGAGCGATTTCCATTGCAGAAAGCTTTTATGCAATACACTGACATTATTATTATCTCACTGTTTTTTACAATCATTCTAAAATTCCACCAGTTCTACACAGGCGATTCTTAAAAGCTCATTTGAGCAACTTAACGTCACAAAAGTCCATTGGAGGTGTCTAAGAAAGATATAACATAGATTCTTATTTGCGGAAGAACATGTATGTTGACTTGAATATTTGGCTGAACTCTTTGGATTGATAGAGATATACATTATTGACATTCATTACCTCGCAGTATAGATATTACAGTTGCCTGATAGTAAGCAAAGTTTTTAATTATCATTTTTCTCGGCTTTCCTGTGTTTACTTTGCCATTGCATTGCGAAGATATACATGTATTTGCTAACCCTTTGTTCTATCATAGAAATTCTTGAAATATTTCAATTATTCAAGTGTATGCAGCTTTCACATAGAACGTCGCTCAAGTAAGCTGCTAAGTTCCTTTAACTCTAACTACCTATTATTCTAGGTCATTTAGTAAAGGTAACGTAATATCTTCCCATGGGAAAAATTACTGTAAAGCTCTAGATAGTATGTGAATATAGACTATGAACTTTTCCACTGGTAGGTAAAATGATACCTCAAGACTATAACTTCTGTTATGTTTCAATGGGACTGACCAACAATAACATATTGTGGGTCAGCGAGGTCACGTGACTAGTATCACG